TTTTGCTGTAGTCCGTGGTGGTCGCTGTGCATTTGTGTCTTGAACCGCGACATATAGCCCAAATAACTTGGAAAAACCGATGTCGAATGTCGCGAGATTCCCGAAGTACGTCTACGGATAGGCCCATGCACAAAAGATGGAACAATACATCGCAGCCTTATGTTCAACAACATTCGTACGATAACCACAAGTAGCTTGAGATGACATCACAAGGTGGAACAAAGCCAAGGTGGCGATCAAAGACGGCAGATGGGCCAATTAATAAGATCTCCAAAATTAGCCTGAGAATATACACCAAATTTGCCCAGATTGAAGAACACACCAAAATATTGCTGCATATTTCACCCAGGAAATACATGGATAACACAGTAATCCCGAATCAGAAGTAGAATCCAGCACGCGGTAATTCAAAAATGCGAAGCATCCTTGGGTACAGCCAACTATTTGTGTGACCTTAATTGCTGGGTCACGACGCGTTCGTATAGCTTTGATGGTAATTCGTAAGTCATGTTTTGCGTCACTCATGAGAAGTTTGACGTCAAATTCGACCTCCACAGCGACTGTGGTCGTGTCTTCTTTATCCTGCTCCTGTGAGTCATGGAGACGTGACAGTATGTCAACTTGGCCCATGGAAACTGTCATTTGTTAGTGAATCTCAAAATCATAGCTCAGCAAACTGAATGCCCAGCTTTGCATGCGGTCGACTGTACAAGCAAGGATATCCTTCTTCGCGCCAAAAATAGCCATCAACGGGTTGTGATCCGTCAGATGTTTAGAGCGTCGGCCATTTAAATTTTGTGAAGTGTCTTCATGGCAAAGATGATGGCCAATGTCTCTTTCTCGATTTGGATGTAGTTTATCTCGGCTTTTGTCAAGGTCCTGACTGCGATCGCTTTCTGAGACCCATCTGCGTACATAGGTGAGATAACGGCACCGATCCCATGGCTTTATGCACATGTTACGAGAATGATTCCCTGAGTTGAGTCGTAATGAGTCAGCAACAGGTCTGAGAGCAATAATGACTTGACCCGTTCGGAGGCACTCTAACACTCTTACGTCCAGTTCGGAGTTGGTTTTTGGTCATCAGCTTGTTCAACGGGGCACGCGGTCGATGCATGCACTATAGTGATGGATTTGACCGCGAATGAAACGCACTGCTTGTAGTTCTGTTGGTGGAGACATATTTTGTGACTTCTCTGTTCACTGGATCTGGTTAGCAGCCATGTTTTACACGAATAAAACCGAGGTATTTAAGCATGGGTGTAAAAATCGCCTATTTGCCTCCAGGGGTCCAAAAACTGTGAGACTGGATACGACCAAGCACTTTATCCAACCAGTTAAATAGCTCTACCGCTGTTCGGCCTATCACGATGATGTCATCCAAATATGCATCGGCCCCAGAAACTTTCTCAAGCATGGTACCTGTCAATTTTTGGAAAACTGCTGATGCCGTTTTCACACCAAAAGGCAAGCGATTGTACTGGAACAGCCCCCGATGAATGCTTACCGTCAGCAGCTCTCTCTAGTATTCGGAAACATCCGCTCGGAGGTAGGCATCGGACAGGTCATATTTTGCAAAACTCTTTTCACCATTCAGTTTTGCGAAGATGTCTTCCGATATGGACCATAGGTACTGGTGGTCGTCAAGCGCCGCGTTCAGGCCACTTGAGGAATCAGCGCAGACGCGTATCTTGCCATGCGGTTTCTTTGCTACAACAATGGGTGCAACTGATGAGGTGTAAGTGGTTCACAGGTGTGATGACACCGGATCGTTCCAGTCGATCGAGTACTTCATCAATCGTTGGCATGGCTGCACACAGCACCGGCCTTTTAGCCTTGAAGGCTGATTAGTTCCTGAGCACAGGCACAGCGTTGTCTTGAATTTTGTTAATGACCGAGCTCATCTTGAAACACAGAGGTGAATCTTGACTTCAGCCACCGCGTCGTATATTCAGCTGTCATCGCCGAAGGTTCTGGATCTACTCGGAGTCGATTACAAATTCGGTTTATTGGAACATCAACAAGTCCTTGTCTTTTGATTCAGTAAATACCACGAAGAGTTAGCTTAAGTCGGTCCGTCAGCTAGTATGTTACAGTCCTCTCCGTTAAATTCGATTCTGCAAGTTATTTCTCCGACCAACTTCTGCATTCCACCAAACACGTTGTGAGCTACGTTATCAGACGCAGCAATCGTCAGTCTCTTGTTGTTTTTCAAGCTGCTCTTGGGAATGAATGCATCCTGGAAGCAATCCCGTTTATAAGTGCTGTGATGAAACCTTTTCGGGAAGTGAACACCCTGTGGATGGTAACAACGACCAATACTGAGTTTTCAACGGTATTTTTGTCACTCTTCTTCTAGCTGCATTTTTTCACCTCCATCAGTCGAGGGGTCTTGCGGAATTCTTTCTTGCAGCCCCTTTGGCAAATGACCATTTTTAGTAGTAAAAATAAGGCAAAATGCCACTCACCACGCGAGCAACAGTAGTAGGCGGTCTGTTCTGTGACTTTTGAGGGGAATTATCAGGCCTGTTTCTCTTGGAATTTGTCACAGCAAGGACTTTTCGCGGCTGTGAGGATGAGTCCTTCTTGAACATGGCAGTGTCATGTTTCAGAGTCAGCAATCGCTTGCACTCAGCTGTAAGGTCATTTCTGGGTCTCGATCCAGCTTCGAGAGTGATCTAGTGCGGATCTCGACATCCTGTAGGGACTGTAAGGCACCGATAAATATGAGACACTTGAATTGGTCATCTGTCAGAGAGCGCAACTTGAAACCTTCACACTCACAGTTGACTGTCTGCGAATTCCCCATAATCGTCTACGTCCTGCTTGACAATTTTCAGATATTGATAGCAAATGCTGAATAGTGATGACGACTCGCCGAAAATTTCGCCGACTTATGACACCGTTTCATTCAGCTATTTTTGCTCTAAGTGACCAACGAATCTTGAATGTTCATGTGTGGCAAGTTTACGGAGCAGCAGTCACACTTTCCATGGGTCATCCTGACGTTTGAAATCCGTCCTTAGCATTTCCTCTCATCGTCTGAACCATGCATAGAAAGCGCTTTCGGAATCAGCGTATAATTGAATTCGGTAATGGAATTGGAGAGGAGATCAACAGAACTTGTGTGTCCTGCGAAGCTGTAACTGAAGCCTGCAGTCTGAGCCGCTGCGTCAGTGTCGGTCAGCTTCATCTGCACCTCCATTCGTGTTTGGTGTTGCCAAAACAACATTTGGAATTGTTCTGCAGAGGAGTTTGTTGTATCACCAATTTTTTACTACGCTATTTGTTATATCTATCTCTTTGTATGCCATTCCGGCTGAACTGGTCCCTTTCTGTGCTAACCTCGAATCCTAGCCTGGAAGCAAAAGTATGTTGTAGAAGCAGCTACGGCAAATGGGTACGGCTAGTGTAAAATTAGTTGACATTCATAGGTTAGCTGTCGTGATCCTTAGTTCAATTCCGCCAACCAAAGCCTAGGTAGGTACGCACATTTCTGAAACGACTTAATGCTTCGACTGCGCATCATTGACTTAAATCGTTTCTCCATTGGATTGATAGGTGCACGCAGGCTGTTATAGCCGCTGGGGATGTTTCGAAGTGGAATTCCTGAGCTCAATTGTCCCAGAGCTTTCGAGTCGTGAGTACTCTTAACCATCTCTTCACGCACTTGAATTGTCTTGTTCGCTCTTATCCTTTCTTTACTCCCTCCTTCAGTACCATTAACGGGATCACAGCATTGATTATTGTCTAGATCATCGCAATGAGGCTGGATCTTACCGTGGTGCGATGATTTGTGTGCCTCAGTGATCCATTGAGCTATGCTGGGTGGTGCTTTTTTGCATCTTTAGAGCCACTCATACCAGATTGATGCATGGTCAGACAAATTCACCTTCCTGGTCCTCCCGGTTGAGGTTAGAGTGAGGTTGGCTTCTTACTCCTTAAAACGAACTCCTTGTAGCCCACTGCCAAGCCCGCTGCCTTGCGGCAAGGTTTTTGAACCAAAGGCTTTGGTTGCGAACCCTAATCATTCTCTTGTCTAGGCCTAGGCAACCTGGCAGTATCCTTCCCACGCAACACTATGAACCTCTCCTTAAACTATCTCTTGATGCTCTGGCCGTCGCAGAAGATAATCAACGGTGCCCTATCTGCTACATCGAGCAAGGTAGATAGGGCTTTGATTGCTATTTCTCAAATTTTTCCGTCTTCTTACGCTTTTTTACCCCTATCGTCCCGTTCCAACTTCACTTTTGTCCCCTCTTTTTAAACCCCCCTATTCGTGGCCCTCCCCCACCTTTCTTTGATATGACTTTATCTTATAGTTATCAACCACATGCAAACGCGGAGTGTCACACATGTCCAACCAAGCCGTCAAGCCCAGTTTATCGGCTTCTATTTTGAAGCCTTTGATCCTCCCTCAGATTGGCATGCCTCAACGTATGCACATTGTTACAGGTCGGTCAACAGGCAGCGCTTGCCCGAACATTAGAGACCCTCTCGATCGATATATGTTGCTTATCAGAAACCCGCCTGCAAGATTCGAGCACTGTGCTCGCTTTGCGATCGCCTTCAGGTGACACCAGCAGTGCTTCCTCGTTGCGCCTATCTGGAGACGATGCAGCTTCGAGTACCGGCCAAGCCAGTGTTGGTATTGCCCTGAGTCCCCTGGCTGAATCTGCTCTGATTGATTGGATCCCATTCAGTAGCCGGATGTGTGTGGTCCGACCGGCTGGCTCGTTTAGAGCTTCGAAGTCGCGCGGGGCTATTAGGTGTCTGTTCATCATCACTGCCTACGCGCCCCCAAACTGTAACGATGCTTCGGTAAAAGACGACTTCTATCACCAACTGGACGAGCTCCTTCGCCACAGAAAAACCGCGGACACTGTAGTGCTTGCTAGGGATCTGAAAGCTCAAGGTTTGAAATAGTCCAATGATGAACTCCATCTGGGCGGCCAACACGATGTAGGCTCCCGTAATGCTAACAGAATCATGTCTGTAAGCTGTACCCACGGACGTCGCGGATTTTTGGATCAACGTGTGCTGGATACTAATTTTGCCTCAGATTACTGTGTTAGCAGCGTTTTATCTGTGTGAATTGTGCACCATTATTCTTCTTTTGGCGTATTTTCCAAGCAGTGCAAATTTGGCGGCTATTCTTCGGCTAATTCCGGAGATCTCATTGATTTGCCATACTGCCATCTCTGTCCGCCATCTTGAATTTGCTCTAGCTTGTGATGCCGTCTCAAGCTACTTGTGGTTCGTGTTCGAAAGTTGTGGGAAATAAGGCTCATGAACTTCGATGCTTCGGCTGTGATGTTTTGTTCCACATTTCATGCATTGGCTTATCCGTTGACGTGTTTCGAAAATCGCTCGACATCCGACATCGGTTTTTTCAAGTTATGTGTGATAAATGTCGCGGTACAAGACATCAGAATACGCAGCGACCGCAAACAACTACGGGAAAATCTCTCTTTCAGATAGAAACAAACCGTTCACCACGTGGGATCAAACGCCCTCGTGAAAGTACCTCTGTCTCCTCGCCTTCTATTGTCACTCCGCGATCTGCACCACCACCAGCGTCTTCGACCCCGGCCGAACCCCAGGTTCAATGTTTCCCACCGATGGAAGACTCAGACTCAGAAGCTACGAAATGCCGCTTCACTGATCGGTCCGTGAATTTCTCAGAGCCTGTCTGTGAACTTCTGAACACCGAGGATCCATGGACCACTCAAAAGCGCAAGGGCCCACGTAATCGAGTTCAGACGTCACCTGCTGATAAACAACAACCCAATCAGTTAAGCGCCTCTAGTTCTGCTCCCACAGGTTCATCACTGATTTCGCTGAGGCGTCATAATCTCATGGTCTTCCACGTACCGGAGTCAAAAGATGAAAACCCTCAGATACGTTATGATCACGATGTTGAGTTCCTCCAGGGGCTCATCGATAGACTCTTGGATGTGGGCGAGGACAGTGTGACGATTAAACGAGTAATCCGACTTGGCCAGAAAACTAACCAGTCATGTCGACCTCTGAGGATCACCTTTGCAAATCCTAATATGCCGCAGCTCATACTGTCTCGTCTGTCAAGGCTGAAAGGCATAAAAGTTCACATCCGCCGAGACTTGGAACCCGAAGACAGGGATCGTTTGAAGACTGCGGTCATTGAGCTCAAACGCCGTACAGAGGAAGGTGAGACTAACTTACAAATTGTAAATTTTCGGGTGATCAAGAAGGGTGTACGAACCCGTATCAACCGATTGCTTAACCTCCAGGCACGTCCCGCAGTACCTCCCAGGACCTCCGTGTGGCATTCGCCAACGTGTGCAGCCTAATGAACAAACGTGACGAACTGTGCCGCTTCGCTGTCTCGGAGCGGCCGGATATTTTAGGACTTGCAGAGACATGGCTGAACTCCGACGTCATACCCCAAGAAGTCGTGTTGTCAGGATACTCTTGTTTCCGATGCGACCGAAAATCAAAGGCCCACGGTGGTGTTCTGTTGTACATAAAATCGTCACTATCTGGCAAACTTATCAGTACCTATCGGAGCGAGGATAGTTTATGCGAGCAATTGTGGTGCACAATCCGCCTCAGGCGCGCAGAACTAATAGTGGGGGTTATCTACCGGAGCCCATTAAACCGTTGCTGCGATTGGATACCACATGTACAGAAGCACATGAGCCGCCCTCAGTTCTTACTGATGGGGGATCTAAATTTACCTAAGATAATTTGGCCAGATGTTCGACTTCTTCCCAGTCATGGCAATGTTGAGGCTCAATTCGCTAAAATGACTATTGAAATCGGGGCAACGCAACATGTCATCCAACCGACGCGCGTAACTCCGTACTCGGCATCTTGTCTGGACCTAATGTTTACGAGCTGCGAGCAGAAGCTAAAAGAGATCAGAGTCATCGAACCTCTGGCGAACAGTGACCACTGCTCTATTGTAGCAAGCTTAGAACTGTCGTTACCATATTACAATCAACAGAAGCCGACATTCAACTATTGGAAGACGGACTTCAACGGACTCGTCCAAGCCGCAAGTCAGACTGATTGGACACTACCACATGATGCGTCACTTGAGGCCTGGTGGTCATTAATAAAGGGGAAGCTTAACTCGCTCTGTACTCGGTTCGTTCCCCTTAAGTATCCAAAAATCGGACCTGTCAAACCGCATTGGTTTGATAGGGAATACAGACAGTTAGCGCGACGACGTCGTAAACTTTGGGATAGATACATCAGCTCGGGTTGTGATGAAGATTACACGGTGTACAAGAAACAGCGTAACTTATGTAACGCCGCAAAGATCAAGAAACGCCGGCAGTTCGAAGAGGAGCTAGCATCCTCGGCCACAACTGCACCCAAGCGAATATTTGCCTACTTGAAACGTCAACTGAAACCTGGGGACGACCTACCGGTCTTAGAGAGCTTAGACGGGAAGACACTCATTTCAAGCGCGGAGCGCGCGGACGCCCTGGCTACGCACTTCCTCACTGTATTTTCCAGTAAACCGGCGGCGGTTTCAGTACCGGCACAGGTTGCGCAAGTCTTGCTCGACAGCCTACAATGTGATGCAGTCGAAGTGTACCAGCTACTCGTCAACCTCGATGGTGCAAAGCCCCCCGGACCAGACGGACTTCACCCACTAATACTCAAGTCCCTATCGATTATCATCTCACCAGCTGTGACAAACCTTTTCAATAGATCGCTCTCTGAAGGATCCGTCCCGAACGACTGGAAATGCTCGATAGTTAAACCGCTTCCCAAGGGTGGTGATCCGAGTAAAATAGAGAACTATAGACCGATCTGTTTGACTTCGGTATTATCCAAAGTTCTCGAGAAGGTTGTGAAAAAGTGTCTGCTGTCGTTCTTCGAATCGATGGACGTATTGACGCCAGCGCAACACGGCTTTACGAAAGGGCGATCCTGCATCACCAACTTGATGTACGCAAACCACCAGTGGGTTCGAGCTCTCAATGAACAGAAGGATGTTGACGTGGTCTACATCGACTTTAGTAAGGCGTTTGACAGAGTGAACCACGAGGTACTCCTTCGTAAACTGAGGACATACGGAATCGGTGGCACGTTACTTCAGTGGATACAAGAGTTTATTGTGGGACGAAGGTTTAGAGTACAGGTCAATGACTATCTGACAGAATGGTTCCCATCGACCAGTGGCGTGCCTCAAGGAACTGTACTTGGGCCAGTATTATTTCTCATTCATATCAACGATCTTCCGCAGCAGCTCCAGTCACCATGTGCCCTGTTTGCAGATGATTTGAAAATCTGGAGGATCATTGAAAACCAGGACGACTGCGCTCGCCTCCAGCATGACTTAGAGCGACTGTCAACGTGGTCCACTGAAATGCAACTCCCTCTTAACGCAAGCAAGTCGGAGTTCATCAGTATCACCAGACGTCCAGCCACTCGATCATACACCTTGGACGGCCAGTTGCTCCATCCCAACACATCTGTCAGAGACTTAGGAGTTCTCTCACGACATGATTTAAGATCACTAGAAAATACAGAGAAATTGTACCGTGCGGGACTTCGTATGCTCTGGGCATTAAGACGCAGTTTCTCCACATGGTCCGAAGAAACCGTCCCTCGTCTATTCACCTCGCTCATTAGACCAATCCTTGAATACGGTGCCCCAGCTTACCATCCGATAACCCAATGAGAAACTGAAAAGCTGGAGAAAATACAGCATATCGCAACTAGAATGATACCAAGTCTACGAAAGCTTCCGTATGAAAAACGTTGCGAAAGGCTCGGACTCTACACACTATCCTATCGCCGAGTAAGAATTGATCTTATTATGACCCATCGAGTACTACACTTGAGCCACTTCCCCATACTGCGGCCAATATTTCACCTGCGAGAACCATGTAACACCCGAGGACATCGTTACAAACTCAGGGTCCCCAGCATGAACAAAGTATCACATCAGCTTTGTATCGAACGAAGAATCGTAAACTTATGGAATACACTACCTGAAGGATTAATAGAGGCCGATTCTGTGAAGTGTTTTAAAACCCGTATCGACGATTATTTTGGAAACCTGTGCTTTTGTGAAACGATGCACATACAGTGCCAAAAGAAGACATTGTATGTCCGGAAATAATAACGCTAGTACAAATTTCTAACCGAACACGGATAAACGATTAACGGACCAGACACAACTGCTGATAATTCACAAGTAAATTTTGATTTTTCGTAATTCGATAGAGTTGTACAGAAACCTTTCTACTTGCTCTTAACTACAGTCTCAGTCTCAGTGAGCGGTTACTCCATTTGTGTGCAGATGCCTGCTGATTTCTTGCAGGCACCAACTTCCGACACAGCACCCGCCATACGGTGTCCAACGCCCACCAGCGTTGGATGCAGATCAACCACATTGCTACCAGTTTCCGCTGGAGAGACTGCGTCCAGAACTGTTGCTCAATTTAGAGCACATGCGTGGGCACTGACCATACACTTGTATGTGCAGATCTGCGGGTGCGTTTTGGCGGACGCCCACGACGATGCTGTGAATGCATAGATACCAACCAACTGGCGAGGCCAGAGGTTCTGAATGCGTATCGAAATAAGCCGAGTTGCGGATTGAGTAAGCGCTCACTGGATACTATTGGAAGTCACTGCTCTCATGTTCACCAGACCTTACTAGCAGCAGGCGAATCCTCATGTAGTAAGTCTAATCACCAACATGGACATCAGGTCTCTGCGCAGTCTCTGGAACTTATCGATGTTCACCGCACATTCCGGCTGGAAGCGAACACAATGAAACTCGCAAAACCTCCGGGCATAACTCAGTGCTAGCTTGAAGATAGACCACGAATTCTGGTGATCTCATTGTGCGTCATAGATGGAGGTGGCCGCTGCCCTTGGCAACCATCGACGTTATTCTGTCTTATACGGTAAGCGGGCAGTAGGAGGTCTGTTGTTAGTGAAACTATACAGGACGAGAGTTGACAGTCAAACCACAACTTGTCAAACCACTTGTCACCGTGGGCTGAGCAATTTGAAAGGCAATTTAATCGCTCGGAATTGTCAGGTTTCTCGCCGGCCACTGATCACCCTGATCCCTGGGCTGTCCCTTTGGAGCCGCCCTCTCGTCCAGAAGTCGAACATGAAATCGGACTGCTGAAGTTACATAAAGCCGCGGGACCAGATGATCTTTCCCCAGCCCTTTTCAACTTCAGAGGTCCTGCTCTTGTGGAGGATTTACACGAGTTACTAGTGACACTATGGGAGCAAGAAACTGTCCCGACAGACTGGACCCACTCCGTTATAGTCCCACTTTTCAAGGGAGGCTCATGATCGGAATGGGGCAACCATAAAGGAATCAGTCTGCTCTCCATCGCCTCCGAATCGCTTGCCTCTGTCATCCTTCACAGACTGACTGGCATTCTTGAGTCATATTCGTGAAGAGCAACCCCGGTTTCGTCGAGGTCGAGGCTGCATCGACCACATATTAACTTTGCGTCAGTTGTTGGAGCGCCGTCACAAATATTTGCGGCCCACCGTTGTCGTGTTCCTCTACATCAAAGGTGCCTTCGATTCGGTGTATCGATATACCCCGTGGGATTGTCTACTCAGGAAAGATGTACCTGAGAAATATGTAAATATTATCCGAACGTTATACGCGCGTAGCTCGGGCGGAGTGAGGGCTTACTGAAAACTGTCGTTGTCTTTCGAGATCTCCAGTCGTGTGAGACAAGGATGTCCGCTGTCACATTTCCGCTTTAACTTCGCTATTGACGAAGTCATGGAGATCACATTTACAGGACACGACTTAGAAGGCGAACGACTTTTTGACTTGGAATGTGCTGACGATATTACCCTAATCTGTGACAGCTCACAAATGTGCCAAGTGGCACTGGACAGATTAGCACTGGCTGTCAACCGTTTCGGACTATGCTTTGCACTCTTCAATTGCAAAGCTTTCCTTCAAGTTTGGCAGGGACCGCCTCCTTCTCTGACCTTTGGTGGGAATCTGCTGGAAGTCCTTCAACCATTCAACTACCTGGAAACTTGTATCATCGCCCTTGGAATCGAAGACGAGATCACGAACTGTATAGCAAAAGCTCGAGACGCTTTTACTAATCTTCGCCACTTACGGCGCGACATCTCTCTTGCACTGAAGGGTTCAGTGTACAATTCAGCCGTACGTTCGACCATGCGGCACAGATGCGAAACCTGGCCCATTAGAGCAGCAGACATAAGGAGGTTAGTTACAATCGACCACTGGCGTCTACGCAGTTTAGCTCACAACTGGTGGGAACACAGCGTGCGTAACGAGTGTGTTCGACGCCTTGCTTATGGCACAAGAAGTGGAAATGAACCACTCAGTACCGTTATTTCGCGCACCAGGCTCCGATGGCTGGGCCACGTGTTGCGCATGTCAGCCCAATGACTCCCGAGTGGTGCGTTGTTTGCGCGCCGGGGGTGTGGATGGAAGAAGAGGATGGGTGATCAAGCGATGACTTGATCGTGAGCAAAGAAGGTCCTTACTTCGGAGTTGACCTCGGTTGGAGCCTTTCAGCTATCTGATTGGAGTCCGAAAGACGATGAACACCTTTGGCTGACTACACTTGCTGACATTGCTAGGGGCCGACCTCAATGGCGTTTCTGTTGTGTGCTTCTTTGTCCCTCCCTATCCCACTTAGCCTCCCCCTCCAATCGCGATCTCATTTCTTAACATAATGAAACTTTTGCTTAATGAAAAATTTTTGCCGCATAGTAGCCGGCTGATAGCTTTCCGGAATGATGCCCATCCATTACTGGTAGCTCAGCTGCAGAGCGTCATAAGTTTCTTTTCTTCTGTATTGCAGCACAGTAAATGAGGGGTTTTTCACCTCTAGCTAAGGTGGGTAATAATGATGATTATGATTTGTAAACCAGAAGTTACACTATTCCTCGATGAATTAATCCTTATGCGCTTAACTTAAGCGAGTCTCGTATTACAACGCAATTCCGTGTGTTGCACTGTAACCCCTGCGCCTACGATTTGAAAGATGCACTGCTACATCGTGGAACATTTGGCTCCCTGTCCCTTAGCCAAATCGTCATTCCTAGCGGACCTCTGTGTGTTTTAACTTGGCTGTTTTACCCTATCAGGTTTGTATTTCATGTTGATTCAAATCATCTTAAGCTTTGCGCACATCTAGACTCTCGCTGAGGATATAGGTTGAAGCAAATACCGAAGTCAGGAGCAACATGAAATATATGCGCAATTGCCGCGCAAACAGCCGCACGCGTAACGTACTTGTGCCTTTCGTTGTGTTCACAGGTAAACGTAACAGATACAATGGGACGATGTGCATGCAAATCCCGTTGAACGTAATGCGTCGCAGATGGCATTTTTGAAAGCTCATTGTGCATGGGAATGAAAACAGCCATTTAGAGCCTTGGATAAAATTATTGATAGCGCGAAGATTCACAGAAACAACCAAATTCGCGCGGATATCTCCAGCGTAACCGTTACAGCTAGAAATTTTCTTTAGCAACCACACCAATAAGGTGTCATCCTCCACGGAAGATGATAGCAGTATAACAGAGTTTTATATTAACTTGTATATTAACTTATGGATTCCCAAGGCCACCTTACGGTTGAGTAAAGAAGAGTAGTCCGTTAACTTCACACAACGTTTCATAACCGCGCGTGGATCACGATAAATTTTGGGCCAGTGAATGACCTAGGTATGATATTGTCGATCACAGGTTCCTTCAACCAGCCCGCTAGAAATAACTGTCCAAGTAGTTGCTTTTTTGTATCGACTAACCAAGGCGAAATTATTGTGTCTCATCACTCGATGTCTTTAGCAGCCTTCTTATCTTCATGTCTTGTTTGATGCTGCTATACATGCACTAGTTTCTTTTCATCAACACTCAGTTCGCAAATTGCCACTCAAAACTGATCGACTGGGGCGCATAGTTCACTACTTTGTGAACTTTTCACCGACTGTTGTCACATCTCAACGGCGTCTTCTCTAGCATCGTCTGTTGTTTATCACCAGATTACTTTTCGTTCTCTCCCCGCCGTCTCTGGTAGATCTCATCGTATTTCTTTGCGTGTCCTAGGTTTCTCGTGAATTACTGCATACTTTGCGCTTCACTGTTCTTTCAATTGCTAGTCAAATACGCTGTTCTACACTTGACCACTTCTTGCCTTTATCTCCAAGGCTGTTTTCATTCTCGTCTTCAGATTAAGCAACAGTTGATTGCCATAAACGCTGAGAAGAAACCTACAGCAATCAATCCGTCCTCCACGTGATACACGCCAGTGAACTTCGTCATGGTCCGAACAACGTTTATTTTCCCGGGATCCTTCCATTATTCGTCACACAAACCACTCTAGCTTGGTCCCACCCCTCTCCCGATTGTGCACACCATAATTTCGCTTAACCTTCGTAATTTCACAGCTTACGCGGAATTACTTGGGGATTCATACTTTAATTTTTGTATTGTTTTGAACATTATATTTTTTGAGCCACTGATGTTGCTAGCTTAATGGCTTGTTGGCTTGAGCGACGACAACAATCAACATTACACACATGGCTATTATGTAATCCATTGAAAGGGGTAGCAGATACCTGCACCGGGTGAAACCGGCTCTGCAGTACTGACGAAAAGTAACTCCGGTGATTTTGAACTGCTACACAGATTTGTCCTCCACTATCTTTTTTGGCAGACTAATCTCTGTTCGAGGCCAGGGGGTGGCAAACTCCCTTCATATCCGATGCCGCGAGCTTTTACCAATGTCCGTGTGTGATGCCTAGTGATCGTAGATGGAGGATGGGCCTCAGATTGGAGAAACCAACTGGTTATAAGACACGGTAGGTCATGCTGAGCTCGACAGGATGTACCTTCCTAGTCTGCGTACCCCCACGATCCGTTTTTCCCACTGCTGGTTGGATAGCATGGGATTACAGCACTCTAAACGTGTGTGCTTCTCGCACTACTCATAAGTAGTTCAATGGTGTATTACGGGTAAAAAAGCAATGCTTAACAAGTTCTGTGTGGTGGAAATTGTAGATAAGATAAAAATTCGTGATAAAGTGAAAAGCGTTTTGGGGGATACTATAGGCATGTGTAGAAGAACTGAGGTTTCTGCGTATTAAAAGCTTAAATCCATTGATTTGAATTTTGGAAACGCCAATGGGTTGCGTTATGTAACCCCTGGTTAACACATTATAAAATGAAATGCTAATGGGTCAGTGCTTCGTCAAGCCGTTTTTTACACATTCTTAGATTTGGGGGGCAGAGACGACATGATTTAGGAGAGCGTTCCAAGGCTGACACTCGAAAGCCGGCTATACTTTATTTTCAGTTTCAAAGTATGACCTCTTAGTTTTGTGTTATGGCTCAGTTCCAGGAGCGGACGGCAAGTATGGTCTGTGTCCTACACTATCTGGTAAACCATTAGGAGATCTCCCGGCAAACGCCGATATCGACTGCTGTACATTCTTATGGACTTCAGTCTAAGCTGATGGGGCAACTGGAAGATGCACCCAAAGTTCTTGGTTGCCCTCCGTTGTGCAGTCTCGAGAGTAACGAGATCCTTTTTCTGCCACGGGTGCCACGCTTGGATGACATATTCCACTTGCGGTCGCACGTGGGTATTAAACCTTTGTGGGAACATTGAGCGTTCAAACAGAACGATCACTCTTTGAAGAAGGCCGGTTCTCGACACCTCGGTTTGTTTGCAACATCCAAGATCGTCCTGTATCAATTCACTCAATGTAGACTCTTGAGAGGCGTTCTGCAAGGTGTGGTCTTCATGCCTGTACACTCTCACCGGTTGGTGACCCAAGTGGATCACCTTGCACTTAGCTGTGTTCAACTGAAGTAGGTTCCTCGTTGACCATTCATTAATGCAATCCAAGTCATCTTCGTGTAGATCGTGTGCCTGTACATCGCAATTCGGCCCACCACCAACTTTGAACCTTTGAAATGAGTATCCACTCGCCACACGTTGTTTTCATTTTCTAGAGTTTGTGTTTGCGAATGCATGATAAGGTGGGATTGCCATTCCGTCAAATATAAAGGCTGTCTAATCCAAATTGAACCTCCTCTGGTAATTACCACACGATATCATAGGTGATTCGTGTTGATACAACGCCAGCGAACCACGGGTCGATCGACGCTTAAGAGGTTGCACTCACTGATACGTTAAACCCTAATCCTTGTGGGTCTCAACAGCAAATTTCAACTCTGCACTGAACCGACTTGAGTAGTGTTAATTACTAATAATCGGCAACTTCGCTATTGTTTTTGGTTATGATGTGTTTAGTAACTTAGCTTCATCCTATTTATATCGCTGTGTCCCAACTCATTACAGTTCTCTGCCCGGCTGATCTTTTGCTTTGTCATTATCATGCAGCGTGGAACTGGTTTGGGGCGGCACAACAGATTCTGGCGACGAAAGGTGTTAAACAGTCGGCCATTTCGTTCCAGCAGATGCAGCCCCTCCTTCAGCAGCAACAGATTCCGTTAGAAAAGTCACAGCGGCAGTTAATTCAATTGCTATCAGAAAAGCTGAACATCTAAGTGGATTGGGAACCGGAACCGAGGTTGACCTCACAGGAAATTGTATCTGAATGCCACTCACTGCTCAGTTTGAATCATGACCTCTAAATGACTAAAGCTTCTGATCTCAGAAGGGCTCTAGTCCTGTCATACAGCCATTTGTGGCCAAAATGTGAATCTTGATGTGCCGGACCGAAAGCCCTCGACCGCATCTTGGGACGGTTTGGAGAGGCATTCTGTGAGTCCGGGTCTACGAAAATCTTCCTTGTCAAGAAGCGAACAAATTCTATCGCGTGCATACCCCAAAGTTTCCAACCAGCTCCAAACGCAAATGGACCAGACTTCATGGTGCAGCGAGGAAGGCGTTTTCCGCAGCATTCCGCACAGACTTTAATGAAGTGAAAACGCCCTCCAGTGAAACGCAACAATATTCCGGTATCGCTGCAACCAGAAACGGTGCATACAAGCAGGACCATTTCTCGATTGACCAGGGCAAGACTTGTCACAGCGTCAGTCAAAACTATAATTCTTACGGCTCAAAATATTTCTGGAGAATCACTGCAGCTGAAAGGAAGAGTCGCCTGTGAATACAGACCCAAGGATCTCCAATTCTATGGGACTATCTACACAACTTTTTATACGGGTAATAATTGGCTGGGAACCGATTGGATTGCGGAGTTAAATCTACCCAAAGAGTCACTGAGTCAAATGTCTTTTGCAACAATTGTTATTGTCAGCAATAGTGGTCGTACCTGTTCGAAATGCTCGTGTGGTTACAAGTCACCTGTACAGACAACACTGCTGTCTTGGCCGAAGCCTGAACCGCCATGGTCGCGGATGCAAGTGGATCCTGTCCTCCGAAGAGGTATACAACTCCCAGGTAAACCATTTTTAAGAAGTGGGGGCTGTTAAAGACACAAGACCAATGGATCACGGATTGATCGACCCTTAGGAGATTGTATTCATTGAGAAAATGAATGCTAATCTATGTGGGGTTCAACAGCAAATTTCAACTCTGAGCTGAACCGGCTTGAGTATTGTTAATTGATAATAATCAGCATCTTCGCTATTATTGGCTATGATGTGTTTAGTAGTTTAGCTTCATCCTATTTATATCGCTGTATTCCAACGCATTACAATTTTCGGTCCGTCCGGTCTTTTGCATTCTCGTTGCCGTACAGGGTGGAACCGGTTGGGGGCCGCACAACAATTCTTTAGGGCCTTTTCCGCACTTGCTGGCTGCTATGCTTCAACCAGCTGCGGCGTTACGTCTGGCACAAGAGGCTTGTTTCTGAGATCAACGGAGCATGCATGTGTAAAGTGAGCTGAACTCGATAGTGACTGTCTCACTGATTACCACACTACAACATACGCAAGTGACCCAATTTTTAAACCTAATTCCACTAAAAAATTCCAGCCTTTTTCTTTACTTTTTTCTCACATTACGGAGAGACGATGAGATTGTTGTTACTGAATGCACCCCTATTCTTCTGTTCTATTAAGGGGCCTGTCGAGAACCCTTGGTTGCCCAGGTCCGTTTGCCAACTTTTATTCCCTGCAGCGTTATATGGACACGATGATGAAATGCACAATCTGCATACACACTAGATGACTTTCTTAACACGTTTGAACTTGGTGTATCGGTATTCCAACTCAGGCTAGCCGGATCGTTTTGTTGTGAGGACGTTAAATCCCTAGCTGTTGCCTCTCCACTCCACTCTTGTGGGGGGGGGGGTATGGCTACATTTACTATATTCACTTATTTGGTTTATGCGCAGATTGTAGGTCAAATTCTAATAGAAAATTTGTCCTCACTCACTATTCAAATGGCTTACCAGTTTGCAAAGCTCTCGCATGTACTACGGGGGTTGCTACTCTTCTAGCTGCATCCCATACTTCGATTTCTTTTTGATATATTCGGGTTTTTCCTTGTCTTATCTACAGTTGCGCTAGTAAAATCGACAACCTTTGACCTCAAGAAAGCTACACTGTCCGCGCTCATTGAACAGTTTCTGCTGAACAGTTCCCGTACTTTTTCATTGCTTATTCGTCATGGTGGATTGCCGTTGACCCGCGCATTGCCCTTGGAGTTGCACTATCAAGACGGAATAGAACAGTATTTCTCTGGCACGTCCTTACTAAGTTTGATAGTGTCACAGACAGGCGCAACCAGCTCAGTCGAAGTCAGTCTTCAAGTCAGGGAGGACGACCATTATAGCCTACTTGTGTGTGACACTGTTCCAGCACGTGACGAGGTGTCAGTATATGGTCAAATCATTGTCTAACGCGACGGTAGACAAACTGGGTCTTAGTGACACTATTCTTACGCGGACCAGTCAGCCACCGCAATTTCTTGTCTCTGAGCAATTCAGAGGCGTTGGCATCAAGGCCGCTATCGTGAAAAGACGGCATCAGCAACAGCTCTTGTTACGGGAAGGTCATGTGTTCTACCAAAGCTACGCACATGAAGTGCTGACGCGCCACCCGTCACAGTCACATGTTCCCTCAAGTTAACACACACATCGTCCAAACCACAGCAAAACAGTGTTTCTATACGCAACGTAGTCTCACCAAACCGATACCCTACGTGTTAGTTTATTTATGCTGTGTACATTCTCGTGTGCACTTCTCTGTTTTCGCTCGCAATAAGTCACTCTATTCTTCGCGGTGCAGTCGGGGAGTTACGTTGGTTTCACGCGTATAGACTTACTCCGTTGAGTGATGGTCTTATTCATCATTCACTCA